AATAAGATGTGGTTTTACGCTATGAAACGATAAAGCTGAGAGTAAATGTATGAAAATAAGATGTGGTTTTACGCTATGAAACGATAAAGCTGAGAGTAAATGTATGAAAATAAGATGTGGTTTTACGCTATGAAACGATAAAGCTGAGAGTAAATGTAAATTATAAACTTAATTTTCTCGATTTTACATTTTTTCTATATAAACTTTAAAGGTTTATAAAGTGAAAATTCACCGTAAATATAGTACTTACGTCATAATATTCACGTGCATGTGTTTAGTTTTGTTTTACGTATCGAATCCCGGATTGTAGCGATATAAGTTCGGAAACTTACTGCTAACTAATCGGGGGATATATTAAAAGTTCCTGTCAAGTTTGTTAGATTAAGGCTTAGATAAGTTACATTTAAGGAATAAAACTAACGGTATTGCTTTGTGTGTTTTTTTGTTTTTTTCAAGCAACTTCTAAATTATTATCGATCGATACAGTATGCATGCATAAAAATAGACTAAACCCTTTTGTTGATAATTCCAATATGATGTAGCGAGAAAAAAATAACACCAAAGCATTACTATATATCTAAATATTATTTACATAAGTATGTTGTTCAACTAATCGTACATATAATAATAATAAGTCTTAGCTAGTTTTTTTGTGTACATGCAGCCTGATTTAGACTATAAAGTAAACAATAAATGTATCATAAAAGAATTACTGACATTTTAAAATGAAAGACGCATTATTAGTCATTCATTCATGTCCTATGCATTATAGTTATAAAGGTTAATGTTGATTATAAACTTAAAATAACCTTTAAAACGTTAAACTAGAGGAAAGAAAAGATTTGTGAGATGAAAGGTTTAATTAGTTTGATATTCCAAGTTGCATTCTGTTTATCTTAAGCATGATCTCTGTAAATCAGAATTGTTTATCTTAAGCATGTTCTCTGTAAATCAGACTTGTTTATCTTAAGCATGATCTCTGTAAATCAGAATTGTTTATCCTAAGAGTGTTCTCTGTAAATTAGAGTTGTTTATCCTAAGCATGTTTCCTGTAAATTAGAGTTGTTTATCCTAAGCATGTTCTCTGTAAATCAGAGTTGTTTATCCTAAGCATGTTCTCTGTAAATTAGAGTTGTTTATCCTGAGCATGTTCTGTATAAATTAGAGTTGTTTATCCTATGTATGTTCTGTATAAATTAGAGTTGTTTATCCTGAGCATGTTCTGTATAAATCAGAGTTGTTTATCCTATATATATTCTCTGTAAATTAGAGTTGTTTATCCTAAGCATGTTCTCTATACATTAGAGTTGTTTATCCTAAGCATGTTCTCTGTAAATTATAGTTGTTTATCCTAAGCATGTTCTCTGTAAATTATAGTTGTTTATCCTACTTTACACTAGAGATAAGTGAGGATTTGGTCTTTAAAGTAAAGACAACTTTTAAGTTGGCATGAAGACAATCTGGTAATTATTATAGTTTTACTTACATTCCTTGACGAAGTCTTGCAAGCTTCGAGCGAATGTGCCCGAAATCCGGTCGTTTCTCTGGTCTTTCACTCCAACATTCACACATGGCGTATAGCACATAATCCTGACATTCCAATATGCTGAGATCTGGCCGAAATGTCTCGTTACCGTCGGGCATATCTTTCACTCGCTTGATTATCTCTGAAACAAAATCACCAATATCATGATCAAGAAATACAATTTGGATATTGAAATATATTTATTCTTGAATAAGAATTATTAGTAAAAAAAAAGGAACATTTCTTCATAAATAGCCTATATTCCTATAAAGGAAAAATCACAATAAGCTTAACTTTAAATACTTTACTAATAAATGTTTATTGCCTTATATTTGTGTACAAGCAAAGTATAGTAATATGAGCTAGAGCTTTTATTGGTGGAACAATGATTCCTTGAACAAATCACGTTTGATAACGTAAGCCTAGTAATTACTAGAAAAGTATCAGTCGTTCAGTCAACCAATTAGATTTCAGATATTAAATTATTTTAAAGTATTCTCTAAGCGTCCTACCCTTTGGGCTTAAGTTAGAGTTTCCAAACGGCCCCTGGCGGCCAATAATTTCATGGAGAATGATGCCAAATGAATAAACGTCTCCTTCCTTCGTTCCTTTTGGATGTAAGTGTGGGTCTCGCAGTTGTTCTGGAGCCTTCCACAAGAGGTCTGTAAAAATATTAAAAATAGAATGTATAATCAAATATTCTACACAAAAATATTAAATTGGCCACCTGATGGCGTTGTTTCAAAGTCATAGAATATTGCGTTTATTATATTTTTATACTTAGAAATAAAAATGTTACAGGACGAAGAACTACCTTATAAATATATATAAAATCTAGCCAATGTACCCGTGCATCAAGCTGCATTAATTTTGTTTGATTCATGGGGACGGCGGGCAGCTTGGATTAGCTATACTCTCCATGCCAGTGTAATGAATACTTACGCTCATCATAAGGTACAAGTGCCACACGCGACATTAAACGTCATTTTTGTTTGGTATCGGCTCAGAACAGCACGTGATATAAAGATACCAGGCAGACAGATATATAGGCACTTCTGCTTTGTATATACAAAAAAGATTTCTGTGAACAAACCCAGATATTTTTATTTTAATAAAATGTATTCTCATTAGGATACTCAAGAGTTATAAGAGATATGAGCTTCATATTGTTACGTCTCCGTTTGTGTTGATTGATTTTTCGTAACTTCGTTCCGACGAAACTTAAGCGACACAAGTTCTTTCTTAATAAAAACTGGTTTATTCTTTCCGAATACAACTTTACCGATACACTCAACTTCAACAATCGCGCTAAACAACGCTATAACACGAACGTCAATAATGCTCCTGACCGCAGATCAATTACTCACTATCTACCCACACATTCCATTCCCCTCTTTTATATACCAGCCTACCCTATATTTAGTAATTACTAGAGCATTCCTGAAAG